ACCAAACACATTTTGGGTTTTTTTTTTTTTTATATATTTTACAAACAAATTAAATATTTTTTGGTTTTAAATTAATATCAAACCCCCCCCCCCCCCCCCCCCCCCAAAAAAAAAAAAAAAAAAAGTGAAAATAAAATAAATCGCTACAGTAAACCCAGGTAATAAAACCCAATGAGTGCAACAACCCATGATCTATCTAGGTATACCGGTATGTAGGTTACCTACTACTATTCTCACCGCTCATTCTGCACGACCTCCTCAATCAATCTTCCCAAATTTAGGAGCAAAAGCATGTACATACTTCATACACTAGGTATGTATTCCGCACTTTTCTCTCCTCCCCGCGCGCCACATTCACGCCAACGCACCCCGACCGGGGGTGATTCAGTGACACGAATAATCATCATCATCAGCAGCATCAGCATAACACTATACATTGTACTAGGGTACTGATACCTATTTCCAGGTTAAGGGCAGTAACAAACTGTATGTATAGTGGTACCACTAGACGTGAGTGGTGTAACAACCGGCCGGGTCCTTGCAAGTATTTCAATCCAAAAATAAAAAAAGCTGCTATCCTATCCCGAGCTCACTCACTCACTCATTATATTCCTCCCACCAATGGAGTTAGTTGTCAGTCTATTCGAGGTAAAAAGCAAGAGACTTCTTTCACCCCAGAGATATGAGAAAACTATCGTAGTCAGTAGCCAGAAAAAATGAAATAAATCGTACCCTAAGTAGAGAGGGCCAAGGATATATCAAGCAGCTTCCCTTGGACGTATAAATCCAATAAAGAACTTCTTCAAATCTCTATGATCTCCTGCCTGATTCTTGCATGTGGGATTCCCCTGTGGCACGTTCTAGACTACTAGGTAAAGGTACATTGTATGCACGGGTACAGAAATTACCCTGTTCAGCAATTCCCTTATCGGTGCTCCCCCAGACTGCTGGCTCTGGATCTGGCTAAGTCATGGAATTGATGGCAGATATTAGACACGGGAACCATCGCGATGATGATATGTGGCTTGAATGTGTAGGGAACCTGGGAGTCACATTAGAATATCTTGAAAATACCTTCCTTCTTGACGACTTGTTCATACTATAACTGGGGGAAAACAGAAAAATTGGTTGGCAATCAGCAGTGTATTATTAATATTAGGTTCGGCAACGCAGCATCTGATCAAGCTGTCTTGCCGTGTGCATTAGCTCTCATGTCCTCTGAACAGTACAGCAGCAGGTAATAACCCGCCTCCAACATAATTTTGACTAACACAACTGCTCCTATGAGCGGTAAAATCGCCCTGGCAAACTACAGCAAATCAAAATGTTGCACCAAGAACTCCCTCATTTTTCCCAGCCTCGACATGGCCGTCAACTGCTCGGGCAAAAGCTTAGACAGCTTTGTATCCAATCCTAACAGAAAAAGCAAATAAAACAAACTCAAAACGCCGGTCCATGCAGTTAGACAGAAATTGTCGTCGATTTTTCCTCCTCTGCCCATTGAAAAAAGTGTAAACAGTCGCTATGCAGTTTGGAAACAAGGTGTGTGCTGGGTATCCTGATAATTCCAGATAATTGCCGTCTTTGAGGGAGCGGATGAGATTCTATTAACAATGCATAGAAATCGTCGTAAGTCGTAAGGAGCGTGAGTGGTCGGTCTCTAATGGGTGCTTGCGTAAGGAGTGTCTATCGGGTATCTTCCGGATATAGTCGTAAGGAGCGTCGTAAGCTGGATCATTATATACTAGTAATTAAGGATAGTAGTTCTGTAGATAGGGAATGTGGTGATCATTGTGTCGATACAGACATGTCGGTATAGCGAGTCCTGTCAAAGGAACGTGGTGTACAATGGCGTCTGAGGTGTTGTTGAAAAGAGCATTAAAAAGGATAATGGTAAAAAGGCTAGGGGTGGTCCGGTAAGTGATGAAAACATAGCGAGCTATCGATATTATTCCTCCTCTCTTTTATACTGAACAGGCGCTGAAGAAACGGAGGAATTATGTCGATGATGCATAAATTGTGGCGAAGGCATGAAGACTGGCGATGGTGCTGAGACAGAAAGGGGAGTCGTAGATTCACTGTAACCATTCGTCGACCATTGGTGAGCTTCTAGAAATGGCGATGGTGTAGTCTCGTAGGGCGCGTGCGGCCATGCCGAAGAATTAGCGGCATTCTGGCGATAAAAGGGAATTTCAAGCGTAGGGTGACTCGATGAATGAGCATGCTGAGCGCGAGTGGTCCTGAGCGTAAATGTTAATCACTTGTGCGCTTCTCGTATTGGTAGCATGCCCATGAGTGTTGCCACTTAGACCCAAACGGATTGGAATGGAGAGACGAACCCTACACCAAAATTGCCATGCCCCTGTTCAACCATATGGGGATATTCTGCCATACCCGTGTCGAATGAGCTGAAGTCCTCGTTGTCGCTGTACACAATAGATCCTTCACCAAATGTCGATGATGCTGGGCTATATCCCCCATACGAAGGAGATGGGATGCTGAGATACTGGCCATTGTGGTAAGGAGACGAGATTGTCAAAGGGGTCACCCCATTTCCACACTCCGGCTCGGATGTAAGCATAGAAGAAAGATCTTCTGTACTCCAGCTGAAAGCGGGACTATCACCATAAGGCATGTACGTTGTAGTAGGCGGCGTCCCATGCTCACTCATGTAAAAGTTGGGCGGATCGAATTGGGGAAAGGACTGTGTACGCGTCGGCTGAACCCAGCCCAATCGTGAACGAAACTCGCCGATCGTGTCGACGGCAAACTCCATCAGCGGTAGTGGTGTTTGAACATCTCCATCAAGACTGCCCGAAACGTTGATTGAAAGAAGTCGTCGCGCAATCTCTTCAACTGGTCCGATTGCCATGCTGCCGAAGTAAGCAGCACCGATTTCCGGGAAGAGGCGTTCCATCATCATGGCAGCGGTGTAGTAATGCGCGATGACTAACAGGGCACTTGGCGAAGCTCCATTTTCCTTCAGACAACCAACTGGCAGCCAGAAAAGCCAGGTTCGCAGAGGTCGAAGTCGGTCAAATTGATCTTCAATAGATTGAATAGGGCTGACCTTGCGAGCTCCTTTGAGGAAAGAAGCAAGCTGCTGAATGAGCTGGGGATCCTCCTTGTTCTGTTTGAGATGGGCCTCCACCTTAGCTAGATGATTGATGGTGCGCTGAAATGCATCCAAGTCCGCTTTGTCGGGCTGATTAGGTTTACGGTCCGGCTGAGGGGAAGGAGGAGCAGTGGGGAACGTGCTGCTTTCTGCGATGAACTCTCCAAACTGGGATTTGTGCTTCCAAGGCTCAATGGCATCGATAATCTTTTGCAGTACGTTAGCTCCGCAAACTGGACCAATCCGCCATCATGTCACTTACCGACGAGGTTCCTTGCATTAGCTGGGTCCAGCTCCGCCTATTATGTTTCGGTCAGCTATCGTCGGTCGGATGAATAGATGCAGCATTTATTGCTTACCAATCTGTAGCCTGCCATGAAAGGACGAGAGATGCAGCCAGGACGGCGTCAGAGTTCTCCGGTGAAAAATTCCCGATGGCCTCCTGTAACCCATTGAAGGCGATGCCACGGTGCTCGTAGGCCATGTTTCCGACCAAGGGGCAGGTTGTCAGGAAAGCAATGTGCTCGGCAGAAAATGCGAGCAGAGCATGCATGACGTAGCGCTGTGTCGCACCAATTGCAATAATTCTATCCTTGCTGTTAGTCGTCATCGCGATGCGTGAAACGTACGACACTTACGTGGGGATCTGGCGAGTCCATAGAGTGAAATTGTTGGCATCAATCGCATTCAGGTCGTGGCAGATAGACGCAACATGGTAAATCAAGCGCAGCTCCTCGACAGTGTAGTATTGCGGTGAAGGCGCGGGATACACGAGGTTGGGGAATGGGAAAATGCCGGTGCGTTTCCATTCCGCGATATTCGCCTCGATCTCGGGCGTCCACATGAGATCAGGCTTATCCGGAGTCGTAGCTCTCTCATCAGGGACGGACACATCATTATAGGGGCATCGGACCTTGTGTTTAGTACAGTTCCGACTAGTGAATGATTAGTCTGGAGTTCCTCAATAGTCTGTTATAGACGTAGAGCTCACCATTGAGGAAAGTTTTCATCACACCGAATATGTCGGCGTTTGCTAGAGATCGGAGTTAGTGAACAGTGGACCAGGTCTCTGGTGAGGGCTGTATCCTGCTTACCAGTTCTCGCAGCCTTTGCGAGACTTTGTGTGGCTAGATAACTATCAGTAAGTTGTCTCAGCGGGTATGCATGGTACAAAACTAACCTGCGTCGTGGGGGACCACCGCCGGGACCAGCCATTGTAAGAAAAGTGAATCGAAGGTGACGAAGAAAAACTAAAAAAAATAAAAGCTATCAATAACGGTACTTCCAACTCATCGTATTCTCTATACAGGAACTCTAGATAGGGGCGCTAATGAACCCGAATATCAACTATGTGCGACCAATGGGATACATACATAAAACAAGGCACAAGAGAACTTGGTGCCAAAACAAAAAGCGAGCGAAAGGTTCGTAACGAGGTCGAGAGGGGTTGAGGAGTTGATTTTGTCCAGATAGCAGAGCTCAGTACGTGGTAGCTTTCAAGGTTGTTACTTGGTGGTGGTTGCAACTATGTACTTTATCGAGATGGCTAACAGTACGTTATCGAGACATGCATCAGAAGTTCAGACCAACTGCCGAAAAGACCGGTAGAGATGCGATAACAACTAGTGATACGATGGATGCGCTGCCTGGTCAAAATGTCGTCTAGTTGGCTATTCCCTTTCCTTTCAAGGTGTTTTAAGCGATTGAATGTGTCGTCGTTCCAGGCGGGAGAGCACAGGGTCAACAACGAAGAGCCGACTCTAGCAGGGAGTACAATGTTATATAAGTATATATAGCGAGAGCCGATAGCCAGGTAGCAACTGATGATGAGCTTGGGCACGGGACACTAGACAGCTAGATTCCTGCTTTGTGGCGAGACGATCAGGCCAGGGCTTCAGTTGTTGACAATGGAGATAAGCGATAGTGTTGTTGAGATAGATGCTGGCGATTCGGTACTTATGACAAAGTGGGCGCAGGTATTGATTGAGTTTGAGCCAGAGAGTATAGAGTTAAGATTTGTTCAAGGTCGAGAACTCTCGGTTTCCAAATCTCCAAACACACAAAAAAAGGAACAAGCGAATGACAGGAGTCGACGAGGACTTCCTAGGGGTTGCAATAAAGCGAGTGTGGGTGGTGAGGGTGGTGCAGCAGACGCAGCGCCGAGATGGTTGTTGATGAGATATATAAGATGGGGGACGGATCGAGCAGAACGGGAGCCAGAGTCGGGGGGACGGCGGGTTGTTATAATGACTTAGCTGCGGCAGCGCAGGAGCCAGCGGTGCAGGTGCAAGTGGCAGTTGAGTTGCAGCAAGCAAGCACCTACCGTACCTACCTAGGTATGTAGGTACCTAAGGTATGTACCTAAGGTAGGGTAGGTACCTAGTTGCATTGTGTCAGTCAGCCAGCCAGCCAGTGGGTGTCAGTGGGTTGTCAGTGGGTGTCAGGAGGGGCCCAAATGAAGCCCTGTACAGCGGGTACATCTATAGATACATATGTATGTACATCTGTACCTTAAGTACCTACATGGCGCGGTACTTAGGTACATACATACATGCATGCAATGGCTGGCAAAGGGCATTTGCAAAGGGAGAAAGAGAGAGAAAGAAGGAAGGATGGAGGCTGTGGATGGATGGATGGATGGATGGTGGGCCCACGCCCGCCCACTCCATGCAGCCCGACCCAGCAAGCAAGTAGCCAAAGCAGCCAGCGCAGCCATCGCAGCCATCCAAAAAGCCAAAAGGTACCGGCAAGAGGTACATAAGGATGTACCTAGCTGTAAGTGAGAGACGAGGGAGAGGAGGCCAGTGCGACAACCGCAACAAAATGCAACCCGTGCCATGCAGCGCTGCAGTGTAGCCGCGAAGGCCTGTTTGAGTATAGTGTGGTCCCTTTCCGCAAGTTTCTACTAGCGTACAGTGCCTCTTATCACTTGACACATAAAGACATACCACTATAAATACTGTGTGTACATACCTACCTACCTATATAGATAGACGCTGTTTGTTCTCTATCCTATATGTAGGTATGTATACCTTGGATCGTGATAAATGCCACCACCTGGTATATTGTACGGTACTTGTCTATAACTGTGATTATCTGCACAATCTTCCCGTTCAGTGGGTAGATAGCTATCTACAAGCTAGGTATCTTGAGCCAGAGATGGGGCTGTACAGGAAAGGAAGTACCTGGCTGCTTGGGTACTTTGGGGGGAGGGACACTGTGTGATTAGGCAGTCAATTAAGTGTATCTTTCTTCACTGCAGTGTACCTAACATAGGTATGCTAGGTACCTACATATAGAAAGGTACATCCTTAGGTAGGTACACCATGTACCGGGTAGGCATGGCGTGAAAATGTCCAAAACAGGCCATACAATGCCTGTCCTAGGACGGACAGCTGTTAAGTAACTATCTCTGTAAGTAAGTCTAGCAATGCTCTAACTTTGCTGTACAAGCAGCACCTATTCGCTCTGGCATCTATCACATCTATCTACCTAGGTAGCGTAAGGTAAGGTCCCCTGCCTTCAATGCGAGTAAGGGAGTGTAAAAGCTTAGGTACCATAGTAGCTGACCGCCTACATTATAAGAGAGAGAGAGAGAGAGAGAGAAGTACAAGGTAGCCTAGTCTATGTCTGTATGTGTAAGGTAAGTCAATGCTGGTATGACGGGGAGAGACGGACGGGCAGAGACGGGCTTGACACACACATCTCCCGGATCAAAATACCTACAGTGTTGCATTCATCAGGTGTCTAAACCATTTCCATATACATATACATATACATATAGGTACCCTACAGTCCGAGTCCCAACATGACGTTGTGGTTTGGGGAACCGAGGCTGCTTAGGTAGGACAAAAGCTACATGAAGAATTGACCTAAAAAGGAAATCTGGAAAAAGTTTGGACATGGTCGGATTTGAACCGACGTCCCGGTTGCCACGTAATGAGATCCCGGTTGCTACCATTACACCACACGCCCTAACTAGTAAGTTGGCGTTGCCGACTTATAAATACCATTTGTTGTGCGTAGTGTAGAACCATCACATCACTCATGACTGACTTACATGAGTAGGTATACATTCTACTAACTCCATAAGTAAGTAAGCATTCCGGGCGGTGCGAACTATGTGCCCTTGAGCCCGCTCATCGGTGTCTGGTCTTTGTACAGCATCTCGCAATCTCATCCAATGAACCGACAAGGAGAATGAATTGTCAAGCCCGCGATGCTGGGAGTGGTTGGTAGGTACCCTCTTCTCCTTCGTGACTAGGTACACAGTGGCCCATCCCTCTGCGACGTGGTACTAACGGGTTGTGACCGTGCGAGAAGGGATCGTGAGGCAAGGAGCCGATTTCTTACTTACTTACTTACCTACCTACTTACTTACCTACATATACTTATACCTACTCTGTAGGTATGTACACTGGCCGCCCTCAAGGTGGCTCCAACTCGTGCATCGTTACATCAATCTTGGCCATCAAGTATGCATATGTGCAGTAGGTATATGCACTCTTTTATGTTATGCGTTTACTGTAAGTCGTGACACGCACGCACAGTTGAGGTCATTCCCAACATTCTCTCCAGAAACCTACAACATAACATGCAAGCCTTGTGCCTACAGCGCTCCGGATTCCCATATGAATATCGTGCCGGCTATCGGGCCTTTTCCATCGTCCTTTTTTTTTGCCCTTTCTTTCTTTGTCATATGTTCGGTATGCATGTGGTAGTCTGCGCTACCTTGCTTAGCCCATCGCGAGCTCTCAGGGTAAGAAGATGGTAGCATGTTTTTCCCTGCACTAGATGACAAAGGCATGGCACTTTACACGCTCTCCCAAAGGCAAAATCGGCCATGAGATCCACATAGCATCACCCTATAGCATAATGAAGTCGTCAATAGGTGTCGAGTCATCACCAGGTGCGAATTGTCAGACTGCCGTCAGCTTTACTGCACAAAGACTTCACTCGTCTTCCTCTGCTGCTATGTAAGGTAGCATCGTTGGCCGTTCTTGGGTTAGTCCAGTGCCATCGGGGGCGCAGCAGCTGCTGGCGGCTCCGTCGGCTCTGGTTCTCCAAGTCCCCTACCTACTACGAAGTACATCACTTGCACGGGGATTCGGGATTCAGGAATCGGCATCTGCATACCTACCTGCTAAAGGAAGTAGGTATTCTTTCCTACGCCGTCCCGCGTTGTATGATATGCTTTACATGGGCAGCGCCGGGCATCATGTGTGTGCAAAAGCAGGCGTTTATCCAAGTCGGCCTGAATTCAATCTATGTCCTAGATATACGTGCCACACCATCGAGACCAATATAGATCCTTACTTATCCATACTGCTTACATGGATGGTGCGGTGTGCATACTTGGTGTTTATACAGACTACTGTTGATGTTCACGAACCAATGGGGGCTTTGCGTCGGCCAAGTCTACGTATGACGGCCAAATATGTGGCGCCCAACAAGAAAGCCTGGGAGTTGATATATTTATTCTCCCCAGTCCACCCACGTTACTCGATAGCCTGACGAGCAACCAACGAGAGGTGGTCATGCTGCCACTGAGGTCTTTTGACGTGTCATTGTTGCGGGGGTTCTACAAGGCAAGCGAGCAGCGATAGCCAATCTTACCATGTACGCAACTGTGCCTTTGGGCTGTCATACCTTCTCAGTCGCCATAACTGTAGTTGCCAGATGATTAGGTAGGTATTCTGTTTGGCATTGGAATTTATACGCAAACAGACAGAGTTATGGACCAAGAGAAATAGTACCTAGCTCGAAATCCAATATTACATTCACACGCACACACACACCAAGCAGACTAGGGTAGCTCAGCCCAACAAATGATAGCACAGGTGATATCACAACAGTCTATCTACAGTAAGTATACTAATTAAGCCGGAAATAACTCCTGGCGTACAGCTGTCCGACCCTCAATCACGCGTTGCCGTGCTTGCATACAGTGATCGAGGCCATCATCCATCATCACCTACTAGGTAGGTAGTATGTACGAAAGAGTTTAATATAGAGGATAGGAGTCGGAATAAACTAGTCCCGACGTCCGACCTACTGCGTAATCATATATATTTTTCAATCAGCCTTCAAACCCTTTCGGGAACACTATATGTATGCAGAATGTCGTTCAATTTCTGGTTTCTTGACATTATGTTGTATGGGGTCGAAATGATGCAGTTTTGGTGATGCTAACCTAGATGCTAGGGGGCGGGTGTGCGTGGTTTACCTTTGCAGTGGCCAACTCTCTCTGGCTAGGGATCTACGATCTACTTACACACCTTAGCCACCTGAGGTCTCCAGATTGCATGTAACGGACGTACCGGTAGGTAGTGTTCGCTAGGTATCCTTTGTGCTGTGGTAAGACTTTGTACTCAGCAAACATGGCGTCCGTTTACCTATCTCGCCTAAGTATCAAGTAGGTAGGTTAGGTAAGTACCCCAGGAAGGAGGCAGATATGCCAAGATGGGATACCGTCACA